AGGAGAGCTTCATTCGGCTGGCCGAGAAAATGGCCTATCAGTAATGAGAAATGGGCTGTACATTTTTAAAACACATCAAACTGGCAATTAGTTCCAAATTTCATTTTTTCATTTCGAGATTTGAAATTGCATTGATTTTTATGCGTGGACAATATGTTGGATTTTATATTGATATACATTTATTTTTAAAATCAGTTTGAATGTGACTCGAAATTTCGAGGTTAAAAACAGTTCGGACCGCACCGAAATATGCAAAATTTCATATAATTTTTTAACCGTGGCCACAATATGGGCTGTAATGCTAACAAAAAGAATATGGGCTCCAAAAAAACCATAAGAATTAGCAAATGGGTTGTAAATTATTAGAAATAATGGCAGATGGGTTGTATGCTGTTTTTCACAGATTTGAGGCTTTCCTAAAAAAAAGGTTGACGCACAAGCAGTGACTGTTGGATTTCCATCCAACAGCCGTCGTGCTTCTTCAATCTCTGCTCTTCCTGCTCCAGCCGCTCAAACAAGCACCGGCGGGACTGCCTGCTCCCTCCTTCCTGTGGCCGGCTGTGCTGCCGCGCAGGCCTCACCACCCCACCATACACCCATCGCTGGGCTAGCTATCCCTCTACTCATGCACAACTGCTGTTATTCTTCGGCGACGGCAGACGAACCAGTAAACCCTCGTACAGTCGTACTCCCCTCCGCGTGGGAAACAACTGCTGAATCTTCCCTGCCTCCATGTGGTTCCCTTCCTAGGCCTCACCGTCGTCCACCGCCCTAGTGCTCTCGGCGCGGCCTGGTCAACATGGTCAACGACCAACATGCATCTGAAGTGGATTGTACATGGAGAGGCTGACAGCTGGGTCCACGGCCGCAGCAAGGAAGTGCCTCCTTATTATGCGCAAAATAATTATTCCTCCACCTGACAGCAGGGACCCACTGAACGGGCCACTGTATTTCACGAAAAAACATTTCCCCCTGACTGCTGGGACCCACCAGCTACATCTTCTTACGCAAGGAAGTGCGTCTGGGCAAAAAAAAACGATTCGTCCCCCTGACTGCTGGGATCCACCAGCTACATCTTCGCATGCAAGGAAGTGCGTTCGAAAAAAAATGATTTGCCCCCTGACTGCTGGGACCCACCAGCTACATCTTCGCACGCAAGGAAGTGCCTGACAGTCGGCACCCACCTGGTCGAAGCGTACGTAGCCTTGTCATTCTGGTCGCGAACGTGTACGTACATATATACTGGTTGATGTAGAGGCGCGCACGTAGCATGTACACGTACGTACAGCGGCCAGTGTGCAAGAAAGAAAATACGGCCACGTATGTGTACATACGAGCGGGGTCTCGAATGCCTACTCGCGCATATATACGTACGGCTAGGGCTCGTGTACATGGCTGGGTCGGAACGGAAAAACAGCGTCGTCGTCCTGTTCATGGGGAGCCAACCGGCTGGGTCGGAATGAAATGTGTTGTCGTGTTCATCGGGAGGGCTTGGACGGAACAGGCGACGGAAACGAGGCCTGGTGTACTGCAGAACGGAGGAAACGGACCTCCTATGGTCGAAACGGGATCCTGTTGATCGGGAGGGGTGTGGCTTGCCGCAAAACGGACGAAACAGACCTCCTACGGTCGAAACGGGGGTCCTGTTGATGAGGAGGGGTGTGGCGTACCGCAAAACGGACGAAACGGACTTGTGTTGGAGTGCTACGGGCGAAACGGGGTTCCTGTTCATCGGGAGGGGTGTGGCGTACCGCAAAACGGGACTCCACGAGATACTGTTCATCTCCACTGTCGAGGTCCTCCAGCCTCCACGGGCTACTGTTCATCCATCGTCGACCTCCTCCAGCCTCCACATGCGACTGTTCATCCACAGGCTCCTGTTCATCCAGCCTCCACCACACGCTACTCCACCGGCTACTGTTCAACCACCCCTCTCCACATGCTCCTGTTCAACCACCCCTCCACTGGCTACTGTTCATCCACCCCTCCATCGTCTACTGTTCATCCAGCCCTTCACGGGGTCGTCCTGTTCATCCAGCCCTCCACGGGGTCCTGTTCATCCAGCCCCAACCGGCTCAATCGATCGGGGTCCTGTT